GCAATAAAATACCCGCGGAAAGTCGACGCCTCAAAAATCAGTATAACTTTATCAATTAAATTTTTTTTTTTCCAAAAATTAATGAAATGGCTTCTTGTTCAATTGGGAATTAAATATTTTAAAACTTTTCTTCAATTTTCAATGTCAAGTCGACTTTCGAGAAATTTTTTTTTATTAAAAGTTGACTTTAACTTTTTTTTTTATTAGATCTCCTTAAAGTCGACAATAAAAAAATGCGCTCCTCGCGGGATAACAATTCTTATAAATACACAGGCTGAGGTGAAAAAAAGTGTGTATTTTTGTGTCACTGGTATCGCCGTGGTTCACAAAATTAATTAAAAGGTTTATAAATGAAACTGTAAGGGAAAAAGTTAATTGAAAAAACATTACTTCAAAGTAGAAATTTTATTCGGAACTGTTTTAAATTAACTTTAAAAAAATAAGTTTTAATGTCGTTAGAACTTCGGAAAAGGTTCGGATCTTTTATGCTATTTCGTTAATGATTTTGTTTTCAACAGTGTCTGGGCTAGATCTGTATTTTGATCCAAACTTAATAATATCTTGTCGACCTGAAATAGAAAAGATATGTGCTGTAATTTGAAATAAAGATACAAAGTTATCTACTCAAATCAAAAGTAAAATAAGAATAAATCAGCACCTTGTGACAAGTGATATAAATTAAAAAAAGTTTATGGATTATTTTAACATTTACCCTTAATTTTTTGTTTTATTCCATCTTATTTGATAAAAATTAACCACAATATTGTATTAAAAAGATAAATCTTTTTAATACAATATTATTATACCTAATCAGGGTATCCAAGTAAATGCATTAAGTGATACCCTGTGATTAAACTAACATACTTCAGAAATCTTTATAAAAAACACTCTCTCACTTATATTGTCCTTTTGATTATACCTACGACTTAAATAAGATTTATAGAACTTTTATAGCTACTCACAAGACTCAAAAGTTTTCACATATGTAGAACTTTCTCAAATGCTCTTAAATTTTACCCATCTCCTTGCCCTCATGTCTAAACATACTCTTGATACAATAAAATAAAAATTGAAAAAAATAAAAACACATTTATTAAAAGTTGAATTGTCAAAATTTGCTCCATAGTTATACACAAAATAACTATTTAAGTATTTGCTTACAGTGCATATATAAGTATTATTCACTATATTAGAGGAACTATATTTGAAGTGGAGGAGCCAATTTAAGTTTATTAATAAGGTAAAATAAAATAAATAAGCTATTTGATTATTATGTAGGCTATTTTTTTCTACTCTTGTATTGAAGGCACAGCCCACTTTGCACCACCATTTTAGCTGCTATTGAAGAAACCTTTCAATTTAATCCCTAAAGTAATATAACCTTAAATAACAATTTTTTTTTCATAGTCTAATGTGATCATTAACATTTAAAAAAAATCTTCAAAATAAAAAAAAAAAGTTGTAATATATAAATAGAGTCAGATTATCTGGTGTATACTTTGCTATAAAACTTGAGACTGAGACAGAACTTTTTTCAGTTTTATTTATTTGATAATCATTAGTTTGAAAATGGAACTACAATTTGCTTGAACTGCTTTCATATTCAGTAGAAAAAGTTTTCATTTGTATTTTTTTTAAACTTGAGTACAGAATATTGATAAAAGTTTATTTAATTATCAATTAAAAATAGTCATATAAAAAATAACTTGATATACAAATAAAACTTTAATTGTTTTTTAAATTTATTTGTTTTATTTATAACATATAAAAAACATGCCAAAAAAATAAATTAAATAGTAAATAAGATATATACCTAATTCATTTAAACTGCTTGCAGTGCTACTCTTAACTTTTAATTGCTTTTAAAAGTCTTGCTTTACATCTTGTTAAAAAAACTTTAGTAAATTTTATTGTGTTCTTTTGTTTTTCTCATAACAATATTTCTTGCAAAAAATAAAAATGGCTACTTTAAAAACTATTCAAACAAATCAAAATATCTTTATATATATACAGGAGTTTTGATAAAAAGCTCCAAGACACTTTCCCTATAAAAAAGATAGTAAGCTGCTGAAGTTTGATAGTCATTTCAGCATCCGAAACCGTAAAATCAGCTATTAGTGTAGCAAGGCGATGGCAATTATTTGTACAAGATCACGTTAAGTTGCCTTATTATATTTTTAGAATATTTTATTCAAAACAGAATTTTTGTAAAAATCGTGTTCTAGAATAAATAGCGTTTTTGCTGAAACTCCAACCTGACTACTAATATCAGCCAAACCTAACAACTTTACTTTAATTGTATCTCTAGGAATTAAGACAGGAGAGGAACAACTAAACCCACTTCCAGACTGATAATTATTCTTCATTCTACATTCTAATTGATTTTCAGATAATGCATTTTTTATTCTTTGTTCATTTAATCATATATTGTTCAAGGCATTTTTATGTTCTTTACTTGTAAGTCTTGCAGGTATGCCAACTTGCCTACCATAAAATATAG